AACTAACTTACCTAAACCTAACTACTATATCTCTCCTTCTCTCTCTCTCTCTCTCTCTCTCTCTCTCTCTCTCTCTCTAACTCGCTCGCTCGCTCACTCGCTCGCTCATTCACGCACTCACTCGCTCATTCACTCACTCACTCGCTCATTCACTCACTCACTCACTCACTCATGCACACACATACACGCACGCACACGCGCAAACATACACACATACACATCTAGTTCCACCATCTCGCTCCGACTATGTCCAACATTTAAATTTATGGCACGTCGCGCATTTATATGCCCACACCTTCCATAAATTTGACTTTACGCGCATGTAAGTGGCTCCACTTTTGTTCATAGATTCCTACGATTGTCAGATTTATACTCGCGTACGATTCGTGCCACGATTCGATGCCCGAGACACGATAAGGGCGGGCATCCGAAGTGGAAGGATACTGTCCTGTTATCGGGCAATAAAACTGCCGAATTGCCGAATAATTATACTATGAGATATTGAGAATCTGCATATATAGGATTTTTGCTCGTTCTCTATTATTTATTGTATATTTTATTCGATTGATGTATCAGTAGTATGGAAAAACCTGGATTTTGGAAAATATATATTCAGATAAATATCGATAAACGTAATTAAATTTGACAAATCAATATATGATGCAATAATATATCGATCCATTGATTAATTCAATATTATTTATTCAATTTACATATATCAAAATTAAAATTGAAAATTAACAAATATAGATAATGTCATTAATTTATTAAAATTATTAATTATATGGTATGTGTAAATAAAATCTATAATATAACATTACGTTGCATAATCAATTGTAATCAATACATCGTTATAGATTGAATTAATTTTTACATGCTATCCCAAATCAATATAACAAATATTTGAGTCTGTATACTGATTATAAATACTCCCTACTAATAGAAAATTTTTATTTTTAGAAATAGAAAAATTATATTGTATATAATGTAGAATAAGCAAGGAGATATTCGAATATCTTTATGATGTCAAACAAGGATAGTAGATAGTGGAAGAAGGATAGAGATAAGATAAAAATATGGAAATCAATGCCATCTTCAGAGTGTCGCAAATGAAACTAATGAAGAGAAAGAGAGAATAATAGAAGAAGGATAGAAATAAAATAAGAATTGAGAATCAACGCCATCTTTTGATCTCTAAAACAGACATTTCTTACCAAAAAAATACTCAAAAGATGGGGCTGATTTTCAATTCTTACTCTACTTTATCCTTTACTTTTTCCTAAAAAAAGATATTTTTATCATTCAATAATAACACTATTGGTCAATTTTTAGTTACCCTCATTATTTGCTTATCTTATATTATTTTAATCTTAAAAATATTCAGAAATAACGCTAATTTCATAAG